ATTGATAAATTTACACTTGTGTTATTATTACAGTTGTAGGTGCACAGAAACAGACTTCAGTGAACATTTTTAGGTCATGCTTACCTTGGTTTACCTCTATTCCCACAGACATTTTCCTCTCAGAAATATTTCATGTAATTGCAAAGTCCGTGTTTTTGATTCGCAGACACCAAACACCAGTTTACTTTAATTATTCATCATGTTTTGAATACATTTATCTTGCGTAGCACCCATTTATCACAGTTCATCCAGACCGTCCCACTGTTACCTTGTATTCCAGCTGCGAAACCCATCAGACAAGTTCATCTACGCCACAGTGAAGCAGAGCTCTGTGGACATTTACTTCCGCCGTCAAGTTGAGCTAAGCACCATGTACCGCCACATGGAAAAGCACAACTACGAGAGCGCCGCTGAAGCCATCCAGGCCGTGCGAGACAAGTCAGTCAATAATCAAGAGTTTCCACTAATAATACTATTTTTGCTATATCAGGATAGGTTTATTGGAAGCTGTTGTTTTAAATCTTTAAAAGCACAATATTCAAACAGGGGCTGGGCATAGATATGGATGCCAGGAATTGGGCGGCAGAAAGCTAAATTACCAGTCAGTATAAAGGGTGACACATCCTCCTCTCCCCTCAGTGTGTGTGTGTGTGGAGAGCAGAGAGAGGCTAAACCCCTGTTAGAGTGATTCAGTACAGTATTGATGCTGAATACAAAGCAGGGTAGGGAGTTGTATTTTAAAGAAGGACCTTCACTACAAGGCTAAGACAGGAACAGATGGCAGACTGCCAGTGTGTTTAATACATTTTCCTTACTGATTTTTAACATCTGGAGTTCTATAATCTCCAGGAATTAGTTCCACTTATCTCCATTTAGAAGATGCCAGTTCTCAGGCGTTGGTATAAAAAGTAGTAGAGGTGAAGGTGTTTTTATTTTTTAAATCCAGATGTCTGAGACAATGACAAACTGGGATTTAATTTGATCTCATTTAAACCTGCAAATAAACAAAGTTTAGGATTTTGAAAAATGTTTAACAAAGAAACATTGTGACATGAAATTAAAAATAAATACTTATTTCTAGGTCACTAATGAAATGTTAATTTGTGTGATTTATCGTGTGACTCTTTGTACAGACAGATCTGCTTGCTTCCACTTGAAGCACAAGATGTTCTTTGGATCATTCTCAAATCATGCTGCATCAAATGAATCATCAGGTTTCACACAAACTTGTGGAGTTAATGCAGCTTGTTTGCTGCTGTCATTAAAGCAAAAGGAGGACAAAATACTAAGACGTTTTAAAATTGTATTAATTGATCATACGTTGCAGTAAAGTATTTACAATGTTACAAAGAAAAATCCTTTTGAACTTTCATCAAAAATTCCTGAGGAAATTTTTTTTTGTGGTTTACTGTTAACAACCCTGATAATAATAAGAAATTAATTTTTAAGGACCAAATAAAGCAATGGCTGCTTAAAATTCAGCTCAGTTATAAAAATATTATTTAAAATCATAATATATCACAGTATTACTGTTTTTACTATATCAAATGATGCCACCTTGATGAGCATAATAGCAAATAGGGAAAGAAAAAATTTTAAATTGCAAAAATGCAACGTTTTTTCACGTATATTTTTTCTACCCATAGCAAACTCCACGCGTTTATATGGGATTCAGCAGTGTTGGAGTTTGAGGCCTCGCAGAAATGTGACCTGGTCACCACAGGCGAGCTGTTCTTCCGCTCTGGATTCGGTATCGGGATGCGTAAAGATAGCCCGTGGAAGCAAAATGTCTCACTGGCCATCCTCAGGTAATCTCAATCAAGACTAATCATCCACAGTGCGCAGCTATACTTTTGTTTGTTTTTCTTTCTTTTTTTCTCTTCCTGTCAGCTAATCCCTAGGCTTACCGCAATCTGTCAACTGTTTCTATTTCTGGAATAACGGATTGTTTGACTGATGTGTTGGGTCTCTGAACTAATAGTTCCCATGAGAATGGCTTCATGGAGGACTTGGATAAAACCTGGGTCCGTTATCAGGAGTGTGACTCCAGAAGCAATGCACCAGCCACGCTGACTTTCGAGAATATGGCAGGTATGATCCACCTCTCACAGGAACCCTTTTGCTTTCTGAAGAGCTGTTGACACTGACACCAATCAAATCCCTCAAGGTCGTTGAATCTCTGTGCTGTTGTGTGCTAGTAGGGGCTTCTACTTGATTGTAGCATCCAGCTGTATCAGGCGGCAGATCAGTAGTCGCCACATCATGTCTCATTTGCATTGAAATAAAACCAATTATCACCAATTGCCATATCACAAATTGTCAATGTCGGCAAAAATTGAAAAAATGAATCTCTGTCAATGTGAATAGGCCTTATCAATAGTCTCTGTCTGTTGCCCTCTTTGTCACATTGAAGACTGTGTGGAAATTATGAAATGTATTTTTCATCACACAGGCGTGTTTATGTTGGTGGCTGGTGGCATCGTCGCCGGGATCTTCCTCATCTTCATTGAGATTGCATACAAACGACACAAGGATGCACGCAGGAAGCAAATGCAGCTGGCTTTTGCAGCAGTTAACGTATGGAGGAAGAACTTACAGGTACAGCTGTCTCCCATCCCCTCCAAACACTTACTGGAAAACATTAGAGCCAAAAAACAGCCCAGTGGTTTCTGCCACAGAACAAAGAATTCTCACAGATTTCTTCTAGTCGCTTGTCTGTCATGCGTTCATAATGCGACTTAAAGGTGATGATGAGGCACAAATTAACACATCACCAAAAGAGCAAACTCAAAAAGAACAGCCATATAAGGCAGTCAAACTGAGCAGTGAATGGTGCAGTGAACAAAGGCGTTTGTCAATATATTAATGCATGCTGAATACTATTAATGAATCTCTATTGTACAAGGGATAAGGGGTAAAAAGATCACAATGAGCTTTCTTTTAGATTTTTTTTTTACTTTCTAATGCCAAGGACCTCCAAATATGATGATGCCTATAAAGTCAACTGCGAATCTGAATATGAAAAGATGAAGAGATTTTTACATTTGGAAAAATGTTTATACACTACTGTTTAGAAGTCTCTTATGCTTACCAAGGCAGGATTTAATTTTTTTTATATAGTTAAACAATTATATTGTGAAATATTACAATTTAAAATAACTGTTTTCAATTTTAAAATGTAATTTATTCATGTGATGGAAAAACTGAATTTTCAGCAGCCATTACTCCAGTCTTCAGTGTCACATGATCCTTTGGAAATCATTCAGTCAATCAATCAATCAAACAGTTACATTAAATACTGATAATAGTGCTGATAATATGTTTTGTGAAAACTGTCATACATTTTCTTTCAGGACTCTTTGATGAATAAAAAAGTAAAAAATAACAGCATTTATTTAAAATAGATTTTTTTTCTTTTCCCTTTTGATCAATTTAATGCATCTTTGCTCTATAAAAGTATTCATGTCTTTAAAAAATCTTACCAAAACAAACTTTTGAACAGTAATGTGTATTAATATTAAATAGTAAGAAATATTAAGTGTGATATTATTAAGAATACATGTTGTTTGCAAAATAAAATAATTTACTTTTATACTGACATTTTATTAAAGCCAAAGGTGTCATTAGATCTGGAAAATATTGTTGTATTATGTTGACAGGGTGTTTTTTTTTCTTTCAGATTTATAAACGTGAAGAGAAACCTTTTCTAAAATTTGTTTTGTAATTGCCAAAAGCAGAAGATATAACAATGTCAAGTGAAATTAACACAAAGTAAATGTTTTCCAGATAATATTTTTGTAATTTGATTTGGCAAGGACAAAATAAAAGCCAATAATTTATTTTAGGAAACAATGTGTCTTAAAAATATCATGCATAGTAATTTTCTCACATAGTATAAAAGGGTCTTTGGCATCAAAAACTTTAAATTCCTGCTTAATTTTCATACCAATAAAGCACTAAGCACTAATACTCTAAGAAAGCAAAGTATAATTCACAGTTATGTTCTGTTGATAATACAGTACAGTGTGATTGTGAATATCTGCTAAATGAACATAACCACACAGTAGTACAAAAATGCCTCGAGGTAAAAAAGAAAACAGGCCTATACATTAATTTGGACATTTCGCCATGCAACAGCAGACAAGTGTCCAAAAAATTCCTTCATAATAATAATTCGCTGCAGATCCACGCAAAGACACATCTCTTACCATCCAATCGAACTGCGCAGCATGATAAAGCAGCTCCTGCAGCCTCACTACTGCCAGTGGCATTGCTTTTTTTGAGCAGCTTGACAAATACACACACACACACACACACACACACACACACACACACACACACACATTAAAGGAGCTTGTGATGCTGCTGTGGAGTCAGGAAGATGCATGCTGAGCAGGCCGGCTGAATGGCCCTGCTGGGCTCTAGCAGGGATCAAAGCGTCCTCACGCCCTATACAGATCAGTGTCTGTCCGCTGCTGGCCTCCAGCTGTATCCATACACAATGGGTCACAGGCCAACACGATGCCCAGATGTTGGCGGAAAGTAACAAGGTCAGCCCGTTTGAGACTTGAAACCTGGCTGGCTTGCACAACACATGACTACAGCTCTGAACTGCTGTGAAAGTTAGTGCGTTGTTGAAGCAAAATTACTTTTCCTAATGGGATGGAAGTCGTTGAGCATGGCCTTGTTACTTCAGACCCATTATTAGCAGGCACATATTTCACCACAAGGCAAACCCAACTAAATCTAACTAATGGAACAAGTGTCAGTGCGGTATCAAAGCCGACAGCTATCTGATTGACTTCACACATCAGAGATTCATGTGTATTCAGAGAGTTAAGTGATTCAGAGAGTTAAGTGTTTTAACCTTAAAGTGTTTTTACTGCCTACTTGAGTCACAAGACAATGTTGCATGGATAATACGCCCACACATGCCGCCCACTTCAAGTCAGAGGTCCAGCATTGTTGAAGGCTCATAATTTGAGATGAACAAAAAAAACACGGACGAGGTCTTTTTGATGGATTTTCCTCCCACTGTTTTATCGAGTAAAAGAAAAATAATGCTTATATATTTTAATTGCAAATGAGCCTCCATGTAATTCCCATCAGAGCGGGCAAACATGGATGTTTAATGGCAACCGAGTGTGCCGATGAATAATTCCTCCCTGAAAGCTCAAATCTATTATTCCACACGAAACCCGGCACGCTTACTCCAGGTGCACGTGCAACGTATGCAAAGGCCATACACACAACTGCTTCCCGAATGCATGAACAGACAGATCTGCCCTGGGTGCATTTGCATTTCAAACCAGAGCGAGCCAGGAGCAGATCAGGAGCCCATGTGATGTGGGCTAGCTGCCCACTCCAGAGGCACTACCTCATCACAGGGCTTTGAAATGCAATGGATGAAAGCACTGACGGTTAAAGGAGCTCGTACGGTCACCCTTTCTACAGAAACCAGAATGCATTATGTGAAAACAGATGAAAATCTTATTGTGGGCATTTTTTGTGTCTTGTTTCTTTTAAAATGTTGTTTGAACCAGACAGTTACTAATGATTCACAAATGCTGAAAGAATTAAAAAATGTTTTACAAAAAAACTGTTTAATGCACTTTACTTTACAGAAGTATTTTGGTTGTCCATTTTTGGAAAACAATTCTTAAAGAAGACCTTAAATAATTTTTGCGTAATTGTCTATTTTTATTTTTAGATAAAAATAAAGAATTTTTGCTTCTGATTATTTTTATTCAAAAATATTTGTTCACAAAATCCAAGTCATATGATCCAACCAACATGCAGAAAAAAACAGGAACTGCGTTTCATGATCAATAAGTCTCTTAAATATCAGATAATTTGACCTTTTTATGACAGGGCAAGTTCAAGTTGTAAAGTGTCATGTGGTGTTACTCTCCAAAAAACCTGATATTTAACCTATTTTTGGTTCTGTACTTGATGGTTACACAACATGACATTTTCGAGTCATCAAATGTGACCCTGGACCACAAAACCAGTCATAAGTAACACAGGTATATTTGTAGCAATAGCCAACAATACATTGTATGGGTCAATACCTTTTATGCCAAAATCATTAGGATATTAAGTAAAGATCATGTTCCTTGAAGATATTTTGTAAATTTTCTACCGTAAAAATATCAAAACTTCATTCTTGATTAGTAATATGCATTGCTAAGAACTTCATTTAAAAAACTTTAAAGGCGATTTTCTCAATATTTTTATATATATCTCAATTTCAGAAAATTTACCCTTATGACTGGCTTTGTGGTCCAGGGTCAAATTGAAACTTTTCTTAAATATGGTATAAAAGTTTTACAAAGCTTTTAAAGATTTTAAAGAAAAAAAGTGAAAACTCTTATACGTCACTCTTATAACCTCTTTGTGGTAAAATGGTTCATACATTGCTGTAAAGTAAAGTGCAGTTGCAGATGGTCACATCTTGAGTCGCTCACTGTAGGGGATCAGACACATGGTCCAAATGTGCTAGTCAATGAGGGAGTGACGGTGCCAGCCAAGGTCAACTGTCATGTCATTCATTTTGCATTCCCTTTTTGGTTCCATGTACTGCATGTCTTCTGGTTGAATTCACCAACCCCCTTCCCAACACTCTCGTCTCCTCTTATGAGCCCGCACATCCCTTCCTCCTTCCTTCATACTCCCATTATACCCTCACCGGGGTATAATGCCAAGGAACTGTGTTAAGTTTCGACTGTTTATTGATGAGTTGTTCATTTTCCCTGAAAACACTAGAACATCTTCTCCCTCTCAAAACGGAGCCTGTTTTTTTCCGTCCGATTATACGTTCATTTTGTTATTATTTCGTTCAAATCATTAGGATATTAAGTAAAGATCATGTTCCTTGAAGATATTTTGTAAATTTTCTACCGTAAAAATATCAAAACTTCATTCTTGATTAGTAATATGCATTGCTAAGAACTTCATTTAAAAAACTTTAAAGGCGATTTTCTCAATATTTTTATTTTTTTTGCACCCTCAGATTCCAGATTTTCAAATAGTTGTATCTCAGACAAATATTGTCCTATTCTAACAAACCATACATCAATGGAAAGCTTATTCATTTATT